TTCCCCTGTGGTCTTCTGTTAGGTTTCTTTAATTCCATATACGAGTAAAAACATGGTACCCGTCTTTTTCTGCCTGACTTATTTCACTTAGCATAACACCCTCAAGGTCCATCCACATTGCTACACATGGCCGGATTTCATTCTTTCTCATTGCCAGGTAGTGTTCCATCGTGTAGATGAACCACATCTTCTTGATCCATTCATCAGTTGATGAATTTGGCCTCTTCCATGATTTTACTATTGTTGAAAGTGCTGCTATAAACATTGGGGTCCATGTGCCTCCCTGTGCATCGGCACTCCTGCATCCCTTGGGTAAATTCCCAGTAGTGCTATTGCTGGGCTGTGGGGTAATTTTGATTTTTTGAGGAACTTCCACACTGTTTTCCAGAGTGGCTATACCAGTTTGCAGTCCCACCAACCATCTTATTAGTTTTTAAAAATTATGATTAGGTGTAGAATTTTGTGAAAGGCTTTTTCAGCATAGAGATATAATTACAGGATTTTTCTTCCTTAGGTTTATTATGGTGATTTGTTGGATTTTTAAAGTATTAAATCATATATTTCTTTTTTTTTTTTAATTAAAAAAAATTTTTTTATTTGAGAGACCAAGCACGAGTTGGGGAGGGACAAAGAGAGAGACACACACAGAATGGGAAGCAGGCTCCAGTCTCTGAGCTGTCAGCACAGAGCCCCACTCAGGGCTTGAACTCACTAACTACGAGATCGTGACCTGAGCTAAAGCTGGACACTTAATCGATTGAGCCACCCAGGCATCCCATATATTTCTTTTTAAAGTGCTTTTTAAATGCTCGGATTTTAGTTAGATTTTGGATCTATGTGGGATTGGCCTTTAGTGTTTTGTTTTGTTTTTTAATTTTTTTTTTTAATGTTTTATTTATTTCTAGGAGAGAGAGAGACAGCATGAGCAGGGGAGGGTTAGAGAGAGAGGGAGTCACAGACTGAAACAGGCTCCAGGCTCTGAGCTGGCAGTCAGCACAGAGCCCGATGCGGGGCTCGAACCCACGAACCGCGAGACCATAACCTAAGCGAAGGTCGGACGTTTAACCGACTAAGCCACCCAGGCGTCCCTGGCCTTTAGTTTTTTGTAGCTTCCTTTGCCAGGTTGACATATAAATGCTGTACTACATTTGAGGAGCCTGAATACTTTTCTTCTTGTTTAATGCCCCAGAACAGTTTAAAATTGCATTGGGATCATCTGGTTTTCCAGTTTGGTAGAATTTGTTTTTGATGTTATTTGGTGCCGGGTGCTTTTTTTGTGGGGAAGTTTTAAAACCGTTTTCTCAGTGTCTTTTATGGAAATTGGTCTGCTCAAGCTTTTCTTTTCTCTGCTAGGATGAAATTTTAATATATTAAACTGCTGGATCTAGGCTTTCACCTTTTTAATGCATGCAGTTGTCTAGAATACTCTTTAGAGATTCTTTTTTTTTAATGTTTTATTTATTTTTGAGAGCGAGAGAGAGACAGCATGAGCAGGGGAGGGGCAGAGAGAGGGAGACACAGAATCTGAAGCAGGCTACAGGCTCTGAGCTGTCAGCACAATCCCGACGCGGGTCTTGAACCCACGAACCGTGAGATCATGACCTGAGTTGAAGTCAGATGCTTAACAGACTGAACCACCCAGGCACCCCTAGAGGTTCTTTCTTTATAAATTTCCTCTCTTTGAACATTTGTATCCCCCTTGTCATTTCTTTTTGTATATATGTGCTTTTTCCCATTTTTTGGTGATTATTTTAGCTAGCATCTTGTTTATTTTATTTAATATTTCCATTAATTTCTAGTTTCATTTCATTTCATTGTGATCAGAGAATGTATTACTTTACCATATTGAATTTACTGAGGTTTCTTTGTGGCGATATATTCAAGTTCTGTGAAAGTTTGTGTTTCTGCAGGAAAGGTATATTCTCCATTATTATGATGTCATTAATTATATCGTTAGGTCTTATATTTACTGTTTGTCTACTTGGCCTGTCTTACACTGAAAGCATTGTTAATTATTTATTTTTATATAATAATATATTTAATTTTGGGGCACCTGGGTGTCTCAGTCAGTTAAGCAACTGACTCTTGATTTCGGCTGAGGTCACATCTCACAGTCATGGGATCAAGCCCCGCGTGGGGCTTTGTGCTGGGCATGGAGCCTGCTTGAGATTTTCTCTCTCTCTGTTTCTCTCTCTCTTTCTTCCTCTGTCCCTTCTCTCTCTCAAAAAATCATAATATATTTACAGGTATTTAAATATCATTGTTTCACTCTGTTTCCCCTTGTGTCTGCTTCATAAAGGTGATTGGGGGTATTTTTTTAATTGGTATAATAGGTTTTATTTCTAGGTTGTGAATTATAGCCTTTAATGTTAACTTTGAAAATAAAACTTCCAGTTATTTTATTAGCAGAAATGGGTTTGGGCATAGCAGGGTTCTTGTAATTCAAGACAGGATGGTCATGGCAAAACCATAGTGAGTCCAAAAAACAAAGGAGAGAGAGGCTCTTTTACAGAGGAAAGGGGTGTAGGGTGGCGCTGTTGTAAACTACAACAGTAATTGTTGGAGTAAACTGGGAGCTGGAAGGTGAGTGTGACTGCCCCTCGTTGGCTAGGCAGTTGCTGGCGAGGAAGCAGCCTCCCTCCCTCCGGCTGGGGTCGTCCGTTGGGTCTACAATGGACAACCAGTGCTTGGCATGAGCACTCCCCCTGCCCCCCTCCTGACTGCATTTTATTTTATTATTTTTTTTAAGTTAGTTTATATGTTTTAAGAGAGGGAGCACGAGTGGGAGAGGGGCAGAGAGATAGGAAGAGGGAAAGAATCCCAAGCAGGCTCCATGCTGTCAGTGCAGAGCCCAGTGCTGGGCTTGAACGCAAGAACTGTAAGATCATAACCCGAACTGAAACCAGGAGGTGACACTCAACCAACTGAGCTACCCAGCGCCCTTGACTCCAGTCTAAATGAGGTTTCCTTTTGTTATTTTTCACGGTGTGGGGAAGTCTCTGTTGCTGCCTTTCCTACTTTGGACCGGAGCCCTCCCTTTTCTGGTATCAGGACCACTTCACACTTTCCAAGGATTTGTGTGTGCCTGGCCAGCCATTACCTTCTATCATGGTTAAACTGTCTGTGTTGATTGAGCCTCTTGAATATTCAGCCATGTTTTCTTTTGTTTATCAATCTGATCATCTTTTTGTTCTAACAAAGTGAGTTAAGCCATTTATATTAAATGGCATAACTTATGTGGCTGATTTCAACTTTTGTTTTATATCCCGTTTATGGTGTGATGGGGCCTAACACTGGGCTCCTTTCTCTGAATATGTTTTCCCATTTTTTACGTGTTTTTGGATAGCAGTGATATCTTATGTTATTTAGGAAGGTTTGTATTTTTGTTTGGGTGGTTACTTTGTCTTATATTTTCTGTATCCATTTTCCCTAGTGAAGCCGATGTACGGTTTAGTTGGCTTTGAATGATACTGCTTTCCTCCCATGGCAGTCAGTGAACTTCGATGCTTTGCCCTTGTCTTCCTGCTTTTGAAGATTCATTATTCCCACCTTTTTGAGAACATGCAACATTTACACATAGTTTTTCCTTGTCTCCTTTTTTTTTTTTTTTTTTTTAAATTCTTTGACCCTTAGTGTACTTAGTAGCCACACCAGTTCTGGTGACATTTTCCCTGTATCGTGTGATCTGGTGGGACCCATTTAGTAATAGATCCCAAAGGAAGTCTCACGGATGCATCCTGTGAGTCTGACACTGCTTTTCTGTAGCCTGGAGATTTGAAGGATGGTCTGGACGGGCCCTAAATCCCTGGCTCATACTTGTCTTGAATTTTGTGAAATATTATTTCACTGTGTCTGTGTCTCTTGAAAAGTCTACTTCCACCTTGACTTCCCTTGTTAGACACTTGGACTTTTAAATCAAAGACCCAAAGGACTTTTGAAATATTTAAAGTGAGTAGTTTTGTTGTGAGGTGTCTGTGGTGACTGTCTTGAGTCAAATTTTCCAGGAACATATGTAGCCTTTCAATATATGGATTCAGGTTTTCTTTTATTTGCAGAAAGTTTCATTGTACATGAGTTTTAAGTATTATTCTGCTAATTGTTTGCTTTTCCTGCAGGAGCTTCACTTGTATGTTTACTAGATCTTCTTTGCTTGTCTTCTTGGACAGCTGCTCTTGGATGCGTCTTAGCTCTTTATTCCATCTTTGTTCTCTTGCCCACTTTCCTTCTTCTCTTTAGTGTCCTTATGGGTCCAGTAGAATGTATTCTCCCTTAGGCATATTGCTAGTCTTTCTTAAGATAATTTTTTTCTTCATAATCTTTCCTGAATTAATTTAACTCTTATTTCACATCCTGGCTTTTTGTCCATTTTGGTCTGAGTGTTAAATTTCTGATACAGGGTGTTCCTTCATGTCTGCGCATGCTCATTTTGTGATATTTGATTCACGTCGGGGTATGGTACTGGTCTCTTGATTCCTGGTTGTTCTTTGGGGAATGGTTCTATCAGCTAAAAAGTTTTGCTTCTCATTTACTTTCACTTCCTTCTAAAGACTTTGTTTGAATGTTATCTGCCATTTTCTGTGCATTGTGAAGTTTTTGTGTTTTCTTGACTAGTAAGAACAGGTATCTTTATGTAAGTTGACCAGAATACAAAGTCCAGAGAGGGTTCCATGTGTAAATGCCTGTGGAAAGATGTCCTTTTAAAAAAGTAGGTGAAGGTTTTTTTCCAAGATGGTGGTGCAGCATAGAGGTTCGCAGCTTGTCTCGTCCCTGAGATGCAGCTAGATTAACACCAAACCACACACACGGAGAAGGAGCACCGGCGGTCCTGCCCTGGTGGCTGGGAAGAGGGAGTGGAGGGCTCACTCTGAAGGCTTACCCCCGGTTCGGACGTGTCTGTTCCTGGTGTGAGGAGGTGGCATTGCCCCAGCAGGGAGGCGGTCAGGCAGCTGACCTCTGTCCTGGGGTGAGGCCACGTGCTGAGCACAGCCCTTGCCTTGCAGGTGGCCTGTGCTGAAGGCTTCCTGTACGTGCTCACAGTGCCCCAGCTGCAGCTGCGGTCCAGGACCCGTGTGTCCCCGAGCAGCCCCACCAGCCTCCTCTGCTCTCCTGACTGCCAGTGGGTGTTCGCTTCCACCCAGAACTCAGACCTGGGCCCGAAGGTCAGTGGTGGCCTATGTCCCTTACTCCAGGGCCTGCCTTTGTGCCCACAAGGTGGGGGGCTCTGTGCCCAGGCTTGTCAATGCGTCTGGGACGGTGGCTTCTGGTGCAGGACCAAGCCCTCCAACAGCACTGGGACCTCCAGACAGGATGGTCCAGGAGCAGGGGAGACGTCTGGGGCAGCCTGCACGTGGGCAGGACAGGAACACAGAGGCACGCCGGGGACACGCGCTGCCCCAACCACCAGAGCTGTTGGCTGGGTTGTCCTGTCACAACGACCGAGCCGGGACTGGTGGGCAAGGGATGTCTGGTGAGACAAGTCTGGAAACGAGGGTGCACAGGCAACCCTGTGAGACAGAGTGAGGTCACTGTGTGGGTCCCCGGCTCTCCGCGGTGGTTCTCGGCGGCAAGGACCCCGTGGGTGTCTCCCCAGGTGCTCCACACTCGCTCCCTGCTGTGTCCCGTGGAAGACAGGCCTCCCGCCTCTGCCACTCCACCCATCTGGCTGACCTGCAGAGCCTGCTGGGCCCCTGACGAGACTGCCAGGCTGATGGTGACACACAGGAACGACAACAGCATGCAGCTGGTCGTCACCACCTACGAGCTAGGGACCAAGCAGTCGCAGGAAGGAGTGGACGTTGTGGGTAAGGGTCCCCATACCAGGACCGTCCCCGGTGCGCTGTGGTGCTTCAAGCACAGATTGCTTGGGTTTCCTTTGGGGCACTTCTCTTCCCTCTCAGTGAATACGACGGCCCAGCAAACGTTTTGTTGTTTGTGACTGTACTTACTGGCCGAGTGGCTGAGCATTTGCTGCGGGCAGGGCCCTCTGTGGGGCCCTGGAGTCCAGACGGTAACCACTGGCCACGTAGTCTCGCCTCTCCTCACTGTCTTGTCACAACTCTGACAGATGCACTCTTCTCAGTCCTTAGTATGCAGTTTCTTCCCCAAGGAGCTCCCAGGCCAGCAGGAAAAAAGACCCACAGTTTTCTTCCGTTTCTGCCTCCACTTTCCCACACCACACATCACTGCCTGGCCTGCCCTATGGCCCTTAGCATTTTTTCATTTGTATTACCTTCATTTGTTTTCATATTATTATTTGACAATAAACTTTATATTGAGCTTCCTAGCAGCCAAGGCAAAAAAGGAAATGGGATGTGTAATATAATCCCTTGTCTGATACAAGCACGAATTCTTCAAGAGAGGTAATTTTGTTTTTCCTGGTGCTAAACACCATCAGGAAATGACACAATTAATTGTTTTTAAATAAGGAACACCACACAGTATAAAAGATAGCATTTATTGTCCACAGGAGTTTTTGGCAGATGTTGTAAATGTCATAGTTCTCACGTGGCCGCCACTTACATCATTCTGCTGTAGGTGGGGAAGCGCGGGGGGCCCATTCCCTGAATGGTACGTGTGAAGATGCTGTCACTTCCACATGTAGATTGCCTACAATCTTCGGAGTGCCCTTAAGTAGGGCGTTGGCATTGGTGTTGGAGAGCTGGTGAACAGGAGGTGCCAGGGGGTAAATGCTTGGGTCGGGACTGAAATCAGGTGTGATCACAAAGGTGCTGCTCTTTTCAGTGCCACAGCATGGCATGTTAGGTGAGGCCCGTGTACTCCAGACCCCCAGCTGCTCTCACGAGATGACAGTCTGTGTGCTTTTATTTCAAAAAGTGCAACAGGTGGCAAGGTTCCTCCTACCGGACACCATGATGCCTCCTCACCTCATGAAGGGCCATGGCTCTCAGGTGATCCTGCTGGTGTCCGGGTTGGAGCTGGCACTCTTCACCATCCACGGCGTGCAGCTGGCAGTCTTCCAGGACCACCAGAGGCCCATCACATCCATGTGGGTGGTGAGTGTGGGACACGCCTGCGTCGTGCCCCCGCGCCCAGAGCCTGCGGCCCCGCCCCCAGAGCCCGCGGCCCCGCCTCACTTGGATTTTCATTTCAAGGACCAGAGCCGAGTTGTCACTGCTTCCTTCGACCTGTCCCTGCGAGTCTACATGTGGAATAAGGAAAAGAAGGTTCCCGTCCTCAAGAGCTGCTATCACCTGCTTGGGGGCTCCCACAGATGGGCCAGGTAACCGCTTCTGCTTCCCTTCACTTTGCCTGCCCGTGGCCTTACCTGCTCTGCCAGTGGCATCTGTAAGGAGGCCATTGGAAAGGGTGTGACTGGGACTTGGGTCTTAGCCCCCATCCCCTCACTGTCTGGGGACCGAGACAAGTCACTGCTCAGATGCTATTTCCTACTCTGCTTTAAAAAAAAAGGCTAAGCATCATGTACATAATCTCCTGTGAGGTCCAAAGCCACCACCTGCAGCTGGTGTTACCCCCTTTTCCAGATGAAACAGAGGCTCTGGGATGTGGCTCTTCTGTTCACAGCCCCATGGGGACGCACAGTGTGCCCAGGAGGGCGGCATGTCCCTGCCATCCAGCTCTCACGTGACTCTGAAACCATTCACCTGGTACTGGTGGTGGTGGAGTAGGGATGAGGTGTAAAAGTCCCAAAGAATGCAGTGTTGCTTTGGGTTCTACGATTAGTATTTTGGAATCACATATGTCTCTTCTTGCCACAGTGAGTTCTACAAAGTGGCTGGGCTGTAGGGATCATACCCCCTGAGCTGCTCGCAGTGAGATCACTGACAGCCGTCGGTTCTTTGGTGTGGCGTCTGGGGTAGATTCGACCTCCTGTGGCAAACATGAAAAAATTCTAAGCCCAAAACCAAATACTTTATTTTTTTAAAATATTTTTTAATGTTTTTTTAATTTATTTCTGAGAGAGAGAGCGCGTGAGCAGGGGAGGGTCAGAGAGAGAGGGAGACACAGAATCTGAAACAGGCTCCAGGCTCTGAGCTGACTGTCAGCACAGAGCCCTGCACGGGGCTCGAACCGTGAGATCATGACCTGAGCCAAAGTTGGTCGCTTAACTGACTGAGCCACCCAGGCGGACCCCAAAACCAAATATTTTAAAAACTACAGATTTCTGTAGCAAACCTACTTCATTTCTGAGTTTTCAGTTAGTTGTCATTTGAAGATAATTATTAAAGCAAACTTCTAATTAACACAGAAGAATCTTCATTTTTAGTAAACAGCTCAACTTTCTGATAAGATTTAGAATTAAGTAGAGATTTAACTTAAATTTTAAGACAACTGGCCTGTTAGGTAGGTTTTAACCCTGTCTGTTAACTTTCTAAACAAACTGTACTGGACAGCCTGATGCTCTCATTCTTATTTTTTTTTTTAAAGTTAATTTATTTATTTTGAGAGAGAGAGAGAATGAATGAGTGGAGAAGGGACAGAGAGAGAATCCCAAGCAGGCTGTGCACTGTCAGCACAGAGCCTCATGCAGGACTCAGTCCCACAAACTGTGAGATCATGGACCTAAGCTGAAAGCAAGAGTTGGATGCCCAACTGACTGAGCTCCCCAGGCCCTAATGCGCTCATTATGAGAAGGACTTGGCGTCAGTTGCTTCTTTGCTCAGAATTCCTCCTTAAATTCCTTTGAAGTTTGAGGCCACATTCACATTTGCAGGTGCTGTACTTCTACAAATTAATGCCCCGGTACAGTTGCCCCTGCCCTGGGGTGGGGGGGCTCACGGCCTTGTGGTGCTGAGTCTGCGAGTAACCACAGAGGCCTTTGTGACAAGCCTCTCAGGTCAGGTGGGTCCCACTTACAGGCTGCAGCCACTCGGACTGTGGGTGATGGCTTTCTCCTCCAGCAACAGGAAAGCCTCCGTCTTCTGAGGGACACACAGCGCACACTTGTCCTCATGATCGCTGGAACGGGGCCGCGTGGGGAGGCTGCCTGCCAGGGGTCGTGCTCCCTCAAAATACACTGCTCCTCCTCTCTGTTCTGTTCGCGTCTCTGAAGAATTCTCTGCATCATCACTGAGTGGGTAGAACGGCCTTTCACTGAAGTAACACTGTTCTCAACTTAGCAGGCACTTTTAGAAACTTCTTTTTTACACGTCTTTTTAAACAAATACGACATGCATTACACAACATATCCGTTCACTGAAATGACTGTTCCTTCATGCTGAGTGGGTAGCAGTCTTAGAATCCTCTTTTCTGCATCTGTTTTTATGCGCTGAATGACATGGATGTAGAATGAACACATCCCTCACTGAAATGACACCACTGTCAGCGTGACAAGTAAGTGGGACACTAAGAAGTATCTTTTTAAAACTGTGCTTTAGGGGTGTCTGGGGGGCTCAGTCAGTTGAGCATCCAACTTCAGCTCAGGTCATGATCTTGTGTTTCGTGGGTTTGAGCCCCACATGGGGCTCTATGATGACAACTAGGAGCCTGGAGCCTGCTTTGGATTCTGTGTCTCCCTCTCACTCTGCCTCACCCTTGCTTGTGCTCCGTCTCTGTCTCTCAAAAATAAATAAATGTTAAAAAAATTAAAAAATTATAATTAAAAATGTGTTTTAATCAGGACCCTGGAATGGATCTTGATATGAATTATGCCCCTTTCCTAATTCAAAACAGATTCCTCTAGAAATGCTTGCTGAGTGGTCATTTCTCTTGGGGAGCTTTGTTTGGCAACAGTAAAGCTTGCTGTCTTGTTTCATGCTGTTCCCCATAAAGTTTTTCCAGCATCTTTTGAATGCTGCAAGGCATAACCAGTCCTTTCTGAGAGCTTTTCAGTTTCCTAAAACGTTATCATTTGTGAATACCTATTGATTCTCTAAAGAAAACAGGGAAAACCGGTATGTATGTGAAATATAAACTTACCAGCAACCTAGCGGCATACTCCCGGATGCCTACCCAAGAGAAATAAAACTTATGTCTACACAGACGCTTGTACCTGAATGTCCTTAGCAGCTTTGTTGAACACACTACCAAGGTGCAAACAGTGCCAGTAGCCATCTGCTGGTAAATGGATAGATCCAGTCGGGACAATGTCTCCACAGTGACAGGGAAAAGACGCAGGCAGTGTGGGCAGACCACATGTTGTGCTGCATGAAAGAAGTCAGATGTGTGAGACCACGTTGTGTGATTCCAATTACATGACCCTTCTAGAAAAGTCAAGTCTGTAGAAACAAGGCAAACCCCGGCTGCCCGGGGCTGAGTGCGGGAGGGGTTCACTGCAGATGCGCACCACACATCCTTTGCAGTGATGAAAATGCAACGGGATGGAGGTGATGGTAGCACAGCTCTGCAATCTTACTAAAACTTCTGGAAGAAAAAAGACTAAGGAATTCTCTAAAGAGAACAAGAAAGGAAACAGATGCTAGTTCAACTTTTTTTGCCGACAAACTGTGAGGACCACTGGCTGCCCGAACGTGCTGCCCACTCCCTACCCAGCCCCTGTGTAGACTAGCCGATGCTGTGTTTTTCTGAGAGTCTGGAGATGCCACCTCCCATTCTTGGTAGTAGTTTCTAAGTTAAGGAGAACTTCAGTTGCTCTTTAAACTCAGTAAGTCAGTGTGGAATTCACTCTAAGCTAAAAGGATTTCATAAAAGCCAAAGTGGCAGTGTTGTTTAGAAGCAATCTATGACGAGGAATAGCCCCTGTTGGAAACTCCAGTCCCTTCTGTGGTTCGGTTGGTTTGGTTTTCTCACCCACTCATTCTCTGTCATGCCTCAGAGTAGCATGGTGTGGTCTTTGTAGGCGAAGAGAACATTGTGGAAAATAACGGCTCTGTGAGCTCCGGCATTTGTCTTTCACTGAGACTGGTCAGGAATTGATGGGCTGATTCTCACTTCCAGGGAAATGATTCTACCCTGCCAGGATTGGATTAGGTACCAGTTCTCCTCTATCAGGAGAAGTTTCTAGACCAGCTGGAATCCTGATTCAGGCAGCTACTGTCAGGAGGGCCCTGAGCTGACATTTCCCGCTCCAGAACGTGACTGTCCTGCTGTCTGCTAGTGTGACCGCAGTGTCCGCACACATGGGGCGAGCTGCTTGGAGACAGTCTGGACATTACGCTCCATTCTCCTTGTAAAGGCTTAGCTACTTACCCACGTGTCTCTTCCTCAAGCTAACGTGCACCCTGTCCCTTCCTTCCGCAGCGGATTCACCCATGTGGAAGGCGACAGTACGAGCATTGTAGGTGTGGAAGCCAGAAACATTGGGACAAGTATTCTGAGGTCCTATTGCTTCAGAGTACAGCGTGGCTCAGATGACTGCATCGATTGAAGATCTCACTTTGGTGAAGAGCTTGTCTACATACAAACTAAATGATTATTTGTCAACATTGAGACAGAAATGAGCGGTTCTCAGATGCTTGTTACTGGCCAGGTGCGATGCTATGTGACTTTTTTTTTTTTTTTAAATTCTCGCAAGCCAGTGAAGGAGGTATGATGTCTCCATTTTTCAGACGAGGAACAGGACCAGTAATGGGAGGGTGACCCATTATGGCCTGTTGTCCAGTTGCCATGCCACCTGCCCACGCTTGTGCAGATTGCAAGTGGCAGAGGGGAGTGGATGTGAGAAGGTCCAAGTACAAGGTGCAGGGGTTGTACTCGGACGATGCTGTGGTTCAGATATGTAATGAAGTAAGGAAATGGTTCTTCCCCCCACTGTTATGTGCTTTAGACACACATTAATAAATGGTCGTGTGGCACCACAGTGCCTAACTGCAGGGATGCCATTCTGTATCTTGTGCGATGGCATCCCTGGAGTCGGTCCACAGGGAAGCCCGGCTGCTTTGGTGGCCGTCTCATTGGAGTTCTCAGCTGAAGGCAGCAGGGACAGAACTAGCTAACTAACACTAAGGAATGAATTTACTGGGAGGAGATAGAGCAGTGCACTGGGGCAGTGGGGAGGCGGGAGGAACAGACGGAGCCACAGGAAGCAGGGCCCTGTTCCAGCGAGGTGTGGCCTGCCGCGTCCCTGACACGTCCATGCCATTGCCTCTGCACATGTGCCACTGACACCATCTGAAAGCTTCCCAACTGCTCCTGGGGAAGGGGGACTTCGAGGCTAGGAACACCAGACGTGAGTGTGATTTTCTGAGTTGGCCGCAAGCCCATGCCACCTGGGCTGGGATGGGAGAGTTTGGCCCTTTGAGCTTCCCTAGAGCAGCTCCCAGTCAGGACTCACGCTATGAAAAGTTCTTCAGAACGAGGAAAGGTTCTCACTGAGAGACAGACAATGAGGAGGAAAAGCTTGCTACTGCAGCCTGCCGCTTCAGCGGCCCGGTACCGATACCCCTTCCCCAGTACGCGGGCTTCATACCCAGCATGGCACCCGGGTCCCATGCAAGTCCAGATGCAGTTATTTACCCACAAGGAGAAGATCTATACCCTCCCCCTGTTTAAGATCTAAGGTTTATTTGGGGATAATTTTTCAGAAAAATCGGCAGAAGCAGTACAGTGGATCCCTGTATCCTTTGCCCAGCCCCCTCGTGTGAACACCTCACATAGTGTGTGCACTGGGAAACGCAAAGTCTTTGTCAGCTGGAAGTCAGAAATCTCTGTTTGTCCCACCACAGTCCGATTTGTGTTCAGCGGTCCTAGTGCATCCTGCTTGCAGCCATGGGGAGAGGGAGAGGAGGCGAACAATTCGCTGGGAAAAAAAAAAAAAAATGACACAGCAAGAAAGGAAATAGCTGTTCAGAAGATAAAGGAGATTCAGGTAAGTTGAGAGAGAAGAGTTTTTGCTGAAGACACCATAAAGGGGTTGGAATGTTGGCAAAAGGGGGGAGGTCCGATAAGGGAATGGTGAGGGTACAGGCCACCCGAGAGGCGTGGACATGTGGCAGCTGGGGAAGCAGTGTGGTCAGCTCTTAGGGAAGGCAGCCCGCCAGGCCCAGGTGTGTGCTGGCAGCAGCACTGGATGATGTCACGTCTGGGTGCAGTGGCCCTGCCCAGGCCGGCTCTGTGGTACGGAAGGTTTAGGAGGAGAGCCGCTGTAATGGGAGCATGGGAGACCCTGGCAGATGGACTCCTCAGGGAAAAGCCTGGGGGAAACAGAAGTGTGTCATGCTCCCAGGTCCTCTCAACCGAAGCTCTAAGGCTTCTTTCCCCTCAACGGCTGCCGCTCCCAGGGAAGCATGAGGGCCTTAGCAGCACCTCTGGTTCCTGCCAGCAGCCGGATCTCAAACTTCCTCAGAGCCTCTGTTACTCCAGGTGCAGCCCAAGATAGTCTGTATTAAGTAGAGATAGAAGATACTGAAAACTTTTCCCTAGTTCTTGGCCACAGGTGAAGTCTTCACAATCTCTAAAATACTAATTGCTACGATAATAATTCCTTTTTAAAAGACAGTCACCACAGACACACACAGTCACTCTTAAAATTCACTTTTATTTTAAAGTTTGTTTTTATTTATTTTGAGAGAGAGAGAATCCCAATCAGGCTCCATGCTGTCAGCGCAGAACCCAGCACAGGGCTTGAACACACAAACTGAGAACATGACCTGAGCTGAAACCAAGAGTCAGATAGATGCTTAACTGATTGAGCCACTCAGGCACTCCTAAAATTCACTTTTAAATAATTGATGGGTTAAGTAGAAAATCTAAGTAGAAATTATAACAAAATAAGAATATTCTTAACTGGATAAAGGGAATATGAAATAGCAAATATGCTTAAAGATGTGTAACCAGAAATGTTACCACTGATGCTGGAAACAAGTGTGACATTGATCACTATAATTAAGTATTCCCCTGGAAAGGGAGGAGTCAACAAGGTGGAGAAGGAGTGGGACCTGAAGTTCCCTCGTCCCTGAAACACAGCAGTATTGAGGCCAGAAGACTTGGGGTTCCAGGCTACAGAGTGACCGAAAGCTCTCCATGGGCTCGTGGGGACAGCTTGGCAGGCCATAGGTGCATGATTGTGAATTGGGAGAGATACAACAGACAGTGTAGGCATGGAGGGGAGGGACCCCTTCTGTGAAAAGACAAAGGGAAGAGAAAGAGAAGCTGCGGAAGTGTAGGATTGTATTTGGACAAGAGAAAAACCTCTCCAGACCACATCCTCGGGAACAGAAACAGAGAAAGAACCAATTCTGACACGATCCAGGGTTTCAGGGCTTTCTCTGGACTGGGGCCTGCTGCCCTACACACACGCCCTGGGGGAAGGGGGAGGTCGGTGGCCAGCTCGGAGGTGCGTTCTGACAGAGCAGTCCTGCCCTTTGAGCACTGTGGGAAGAAGGTATATAGCCTCCAAGGACAAAAGATTCTGCAGGCGCCCACCAGCCAGAAGCCCTTTGTCTGCTGGCTGGGCAGAGAGGCACAAACTCCAGAACTTGGGGTTGTGGGGCAGGATCCCTTAAGACATCAGGGTTTGAATCCCAGCCGAGCACCTGGAAGGTGCAGCAGACTGTGGAGCGAGACAACCTGGCCTGCTTGTCCCCCTGCAGCACTGTGAGGACGGCCTGAACAGAGCAGTCTGGGACACCCAGTCCAGGAAGGAGAGACTGAGGTTTCACCATTTTTCTCCCCATTCGCAAGATGGGACTTCACGGAAGTGACAGCGAGCCCACAGTGAAGGCAGGACTTGCCTCCACAAACACACCCCCTCTGTGCCTGGTAACAAGAGCAAGATTGATGCTAATGAACCAAACAGCCCCTCCTCCAGACCAGCACAGCCACCAGCTCCAAGGCACAGATAATCAGTCCAGTGGTTTTGCATTTTCTGATTTGATTGTTGGTCTCTCTCTCTCTCTCTCTCTCTCTCTCTCTCACACACACACACACACACACACACACACATACATTCTTCCATTCTTTCATTTCTTCTCTATTCTGGTTGTTCATTTGTATAAGCAGACACTTTTAATCTAGTCTTTTTACACCTCTTCTGTATCTCCTCCTTTCTCTCTCTCTCTCTCTCTCTCTCTCTCTCTCTCTCGATTAAACCATATAGTTTCTCTGATTCTCTGGTCAATCAGAGAATTTTGGTCAATTGTTTTTTCTTCTTCCCTGCCCCTGTCATTTCTCTTTTTCTATGGGTTAAGGCTTCTTTCACCATCAATTCCCTTTTAAATTTTTTTCCAGGGTTTCAACAAACAATTCAAACCACACCTGGTGGAGGGTCCAAACCAATACCAGGAGTAAGAAGATAAAGCATCCAGAGTCACAACAACAAAGAGCATGCAACACACTCCAAAAACACCTCCTGAAGGGCCAGGCCCTGGACAGTGTATGACCCCTCTTTAATATAGTGCTTGCTGGTGCAGGACACATAACAAGTAATTAAAACACATAAAGGACAGAAAACTAACCAAAATGGCAAAATGGAAGAATTTTCCTCACAAGAAATTCCAGGAAAAAATGCCAGCTGGAGAATTGCTCAAAACAGATATAAACAATATATCTGATCAAGAATTTAGAATAATAATCATAAAATTAATAGCTGGGCTTGAAAAAGCATAGAAGACAGAGAATCTATTGCTGCAGAGATCAAGGAACTAAGAAATAGTCACGACAAATTAAGAAATGCCATAAATGAGGTGTAAAATAAACGATGCAATGATAGCAAGGATGGAGGAATCAATGGGAAGAATAAATGATATAGACGATAAAGTTATGGAAAATGATGAAGCTGAGAAAAAGAGAAGAAAACACTAGACCACGAGGGGGGTATTAGAGAACTAAGTGATTCGGTGAAATGTAATAATACCCAGATCATAGGAATTCCAAAAGAAGGAGAGACAGCAGTTTACTTGAACAAATTATAGTTGAGAACTAACCTAATCTGGGTAAGGAAGCAGAAATCCTAATCCAGGAGGCACAGAGAATTCTCTTCAGAATCAAAACTAGGTCTTCAACATGGCATAACATAGTGAAGCTGTCAAAACACAAAGCTAAAGAGACTTCTGAAAGCAGTTAGGGACAAACGGGCCTTAACCTATAAGGATAGACACATAAAGGTAGTAGCAGACCTGTCCAATGAAACTTGGCAAGTCAGAAGGGAATGGCAGGAAATATTCAGTGCTGAGTAGGAAAAAATTGCAGCCAAGAATCCTTTATCCAGCAAGGCTGTCATTCAGAATAGTAGGAGAGAAAAGGCTTTCCCAGACAAAAACTGAAGGAGTTCATGACCACTGAAGCAGCCCTGGAAGAGACCCTAATCTCTGTAAGATACTCTGTGAGTGGAATGCTACAAAGGCTACAAAGGACCAGAGACATCACCACAAACATGAAACCCACAGATAACACAATGACAATAAATCCCTATCTTTCAATAAGAACTCTGAATGTAAATGGACTAAAGGCTCCAATTAAAAGACAGGGTATCAGAATGGATTAAAAAAAAAAAAAAAAGATCCATCTATATGTTGTCTACAAGAGACTCATTTTAGACCTGAGGACACCTTCAGATTGAAGTGAGGGAATGAAGAACCATCAGTCATGCTATTGGAAGTCAAAAGAATGCTGGAGTAGCCATTCTTATATGAGACAAACTAGATTTTAAGCTAAAGACTGTTATGAGATGAAGGGCATTATATCATATTTATGGTGTCTATCCATCAAGAAGAGCTAACACTTGTAAATGTTTATGCACCCAATTTGGAAGCACCCAAATATATATATATATATGTATATACATATATATATACCCAAATATATATATATGTATATACATATATATATACCCAAATATATATATATACACATACATATATGTATATATATCAAT